CAGTAGTAGTCATCATCATCTGCACCATCGAGATCATAGTCATCATCGGTCACGTAGTCCTACGGGTTTGTCGTCGTCGTTGTCGTCGTCCCGTAGAAAACGGTTGTCGCCTCAGTCGCCACACAAACGAAGAAAATGATTAAATTCATTGGTTTTAAACCATAACAACAACTGAATTGACATTTTTTTTTAAATTATTGAATTAGTTTTCAATTATATTTATGATTATGATATTATTGTAATTGATTTTTTTTTAATGATTTGTTTGTACCCGTAATTTAAATGCTTTAATAAAATTTTTATGTTTTTTAAAAATCTGAAAATCATTTTAATATTATTATTCAATTAAGACAACTGTTAACAACTATTATTCAAATATTGAATATTTTAATATAATTTTTTTTTTATAAATTTTTAATTTTAATTTATACAGTACATACATACATATATATATACATACAGTACATATATACATACATATATACAGTACATACATACAGTACATACATATATATATATACATGTATATTATGTACTGTATATACTGTAACAGTATTACTGGTATTACAAAAACCACGTGACCAGTGATTACATCATTCAAGTGTTTGATTTGAATATTTTTTTAGTTATAAATTTTATTTTATAAATATATTAATAATATATATATATAATAGTTATATAGTCATAGACTGATAGATAAATAGATAGATAGATAGATAGATAGATAGGATAGGATAATACAACAATGCAGTCATCATCATCACTGGTAATGGTAATGATGAGGAATATACTACTGAATAAAACAACATCAATGATACAAATGAAGAATAATAAGAAGATATCATTCAAATCGCTAGAAATTGCTAAACGATTTATGACAACAACAACAACAACAACAACGACGACAGAAGAAGAAAATCAAGACAACAATTGTCAACAACAACAACAATCACTTCCAATAAATAATAAAAAGATTTGGACCATCAAAGGACCGACAACTGAATCAGATATTAGATATGCTATCAAATCATTAAGGATTGCACGAGAATTGGTTGGAAAGATCGAAGAAGAAGGATGTATAAGTATGAGAGAGACAGAGAGAGACAGAGAGAGACAGAGAGAGAGAGAGAGAGAGAGAGAGAGAGAGAGAGAGAGAGAGAGAGAGAGAGAGAGAGAGAGAGAGAGAGAGAGAGAGAGAGAGAGAGAGAGAGAGAGACAGAGAGAGAGAGAGAGAGAGAGACAGACAGAAAGAGAGAGAGAGTAATAGAGAGAGARAGAGAGAGAGAGAGAGACAGACAGAGAGAGAGAGACAGATAGAGAGACAGACAGAGAGAGAAAGAGAGAGAGAGACAGAGAGAGAGAGAGATAGAGATAATGATTAATACTATTGTACTTAAAAAAAACACTATTTATTTTTGATACCCAACTATGCAATTGACTGATCGCCAGGTTTTGATGTTTCGATGACAAAATGGTTGGAGGATTCATTGGAACCGTTAAACTTCACCGAATACTTTACAGATGAGACACGACAACAGCCATTATATATTAAATATGAATCAATTCCTGGATCACCATTCGGTGAGGACGACGACACCGATTATCGAAACGATAACTTTTGCGTAAAATTTGTTACCGAAGATCCCGGTTCACTGTGGGAACAAATGTCTAGTAGTGATGATAATGATAAATGAGTGTCCAAAAAACACATACATACTTAGACACATACACATACACATACACACTTAGACACATACACATACACATACACACACACATACACATACATACACATACAGTATACACACACACAAACACATATACACACACATACATACACACACACATATATATATACACACATACATACACCTACACATACAGTATACACACACATAAACACATATACACACACATACATACACACACACACATACAGCATACACACACATACATACACATACATACAGTACATTATATAATAAAATATACTATTATAAAATATAAAAAATCTTATTTGGCATAATTAAATTTATTTCTAAAATTTAAAAAAATAATAAAAATTAAATTAATTTACTGTATATATTTGTTAATAATAATAATTAAAAATAAACTTGGATGATTTCACTAAATTATATGGTATATAGATAATAATAATATAAATAATAATATTAATAGTACATATTGGCAATAAAATGGCAACAATTGAATTTTTTTAAATTATATATATATAAACTAATTTATACTAAAAAAAATTAATAATAATAATTATAATAATTGTATACAAATAAAAAAAACTATTGGCATTTTGTTGTTGTTGTAATTATCTAAACGATAATAATAATAATAATCAATAATTTATTGTGTCTTTAACTTATCGGTATAATCGGTGACCACTTGTTGTTTAGTACCGATCGCTGTTGTAGTCTTAGCCGCGGCCGCTGCCGCCGCCGCCGACTTATAGGCGTTCCGATAGAAACCGGCAAACAATACATACAGGAAAACAGCATTACCGAAATTACAGGCCATATAGCCGAGGGGTAGATCCGTTTGTTTTTGATAGACTACGACAAACCATAGCATTACGCAGACAAACTGGATCAATTGGATCTGGGTTATATAACGTTTCCACCATAGATATCGTTGATACTGGGGTCCCATGGCTGCCATAGCATAGTACGAGTACATGATTACGTGTATGAATGTATTGATTATAGGTATGATCGATATGGTTGGCATGTCTGCGGGGGTGTGGGGTGTGGGATGTGATGTGATGGTGTGTAATAAGGAGAACCGGGAGATTAAACAAAAATAAATAATTTAATTAGAAAATATTTTTTTTTTTTGATATGGAACTGGTATTAGATTTAATATCTGATATGTTTATGGAGACGATTATACAATTTAGTTATTTGAATAGACAGTGGGTGGGTGTGTGTGTGTAGGGACGGGGGTTAGTTATAAAATATATTAGGTTAGAAATTATAAATTAGGTTTGGGGAGGGGGTAGAGGGTAAAACTGTTACCGAAAAATAAAAGATTTATATTATTTTTCATAATTAAATATATATATATATAGTGAGAGAGAGAGAGAGTGGGTGAGTGAGTGAGTGAGTGAGTGAGTGAGAGAGAGAGAGAGAGAGAGAGAGAGAGAGAGAGAGAGTGAGAGAGTGAGTGGGAGAAAGAGAGATAAAGACAAAGACAAAGAGAGAGAGAGAGAGAGAGAGTAAAGAGAGATAAAGACAGAGTAAAGACAGAGATAGAAAGAGAGAGTTATCAATTGGCGGATTCAGTGGTGGTATTGGTGTTGTTAGTATGGGACAGGTAGGTGACAGGGGGTTGGATTGTCCAAAAAAATACAATACAATACAATACATACATGGATTGTATTTCATGAACAGCCAGCCGGCAAACGGCAACGAGATATGATGCCAGACATGAAGGAACGATATGTGACTGTTTTTTTTCTTGAATGCCATAAAAAATGTATCGACCATATCGACCAGTTTGGACAGGTAGTACAAGTAGGCCGTATCGATAAACTCCATGGCCTTAGGCGTGACATCCGATCTAGTATTGCGAAAGTTCCACATCTCGAGACCGAATCGTGAGATTTGTAGTGTACGGACAAAAAAGTAACCATTGATTGCCACCTAAATTGATTAGATTGGGATAATTAGGATACACCGGGAAAGTGATGGTTAACCACCACATCATTAACAACAACAACAATGATGTCATGGACTACTAATTACTAGTAATTACTATTACTACTACTACTACCACCACTACTACTACCACCACTACTACTACTAAAACTACTACCACTACTACTACTACTAATACTACTACCACTACTACCACTACTACCACTACTACCACTACTACCACTACTACCACTACTACCACTACTACCACTACTACCACTACTACCACTACTACCACTACTACCACTGCTACTACTACTACTACTACTACCACTACTACTACTACCACTACTACTACTACCACTACTACTACTACCACCACTACTACTACTACTACACAAATAAACAAAATTATTAAAACTATTTTTGAAATAAAATAAAAAATTCACTTTTAATTAGTTAGTTATAATTAATTTTCACATATAATTATGAGTTTAACACAAATAAAATTACTATTAAAAACTTATAAATATACGGTATATAAAGTACCCAACACTTGATTAAACAAATAAGATTTAAACAGTTTTTTTTCGGGGTTATTATATTTTACCGAAAGATACGGGAAATTAAATTTATTTAAAGTTTTAGTTTACTTACCATTAGTATATCGTAGCCGACGACGGCTGCTTTCAAACCGTATGGCTTACGGTTCCTCATGTAGGCCGGTATTAGCACAGTTACCATCAGCATATAGACAATCATCAACAACGACATGGATATCAGGGACGGATGTACCAGAAAGTAGTCGCGGGTACGACTGTCGGACGGTTCGTCCCAGTATTTGTGTAGCCAATAGAAGGCTGTAGTGTTGCGGCCGCCGACCGCTACGGCCAACTGGTTGACCAGATAGTCGTCGATTTGTTTATCCATTTGATTTGTTTAGGTGATTAAAGCTAACTGTCCACTAATTATCATACAGATTACTACTACCACTAACTACTAAACTAACGGCACAAACAGTTTTACACACAAAATAAAACTTTTATTAATTTTTTGTTGAATAAAAATAATTAGTTTTTTTTGTGATTTCAATAGTAAATCATTTATCAAATAATAAATTATTACAATATATATAATCACTTTTTTTTTGAATAACTATTACTTATAATAATAAAAAAAAAAATAAATAAATAATAATTTTGATTTTGACTGTTGTTATATATTGAAGATCACTATAAAAATAAAAATCGTAAAAAAAACTTTCAATTATTATGTTTTTTTTTAATAAATTTAATAATAACTTTGAATATTTCAATAAAAAATAAAATAAAAAATATATATAATTATTATTATATTACTGTAACACAAAATATATTATATATCAATAATATTATTACAATTACTTATTTTTTGTTGATAATAATTATGATTTAAATTATAATCAATTATGAATTATTATTATGAATGAAAAAAATTATTTAATAATAAAAAAAAAAATCAACAAAAAAATAACTAATAATAATTAAAAAATTGTTTCGTTGTTGTTATCATAGATGCTATCCTTCAATAAATAATAAAAATTATTATTATTATTATTATAATATTTTCAATTTGAAAAAAAAATAATTATTATATTATAGCTTTTCCTAGTTATGATAAATACTTGTTATTAGGACACATATAATCGCAAAATCATAAATAATAATAATTAACTTTAATTATTATTATTAAGTTATACACACACACACACACTAAACAAAATTTTTATTTTTTTTAAATAATAATATAATTATGTTTATCTATAGACACTACTACTACTACTACTACTATATAAATAAACAAAACTACTAACTATTTTTAAACAAAAAAATTCACTTTTAGTTAGTTAGTTATAATAATTATAATTTTCACATATAATTATGAGTTTAACAAAAAAAAAATAAAAAAATATTTACTGTTAAAAACTTATATATTTATATATATATATATATATATATATATATATATACAGTATATAAAGTATACCAACACTTGAATAAACAAATATATGATATATAGTACTACTAATAAAGTTTACAATAATTATTATTTATAAAAATAAATAAATATCAATAAATACATACATATATTAAAATAAATTGTTTTTATATTATTTATTTTTGGCTCCACTAACAAAAAATTAAGGTTAAAACCGAATTATGATAACTATTATTACTAATAATAATAAAATAGATAAATAAATAAATATTTTTGTTTGAAATAAAATGTTTGAATAATAATAACAAAAAAATTTTTGTTGAATAAAATCCAATTGAATAAAACTTTTTATATATAAATTTATATTATTATTATTATTATTAACAAACAATATTATGTTGTTTTTATCGCACGCTAGAGGAAAGTATTATTTTTTTTATAAAAAATAAATTATTATTATTATTAACTATCATTGAAAAAAATAATAATTTTTTTTTAGATATATTTTGTTGATTGAAAGTCATATATTATACACACAAAAAAAATTATCATTGAATTTCATGACAGTGAAGAACCAACAAATAATAATAATACTATTAATAATGAAAATATAAAAAATTTTAATAGATATAAATATCTATTACTTTAACAAATTTTTTTTAAATTTTTTAAAAGTAAAGTTTGTTAAAAATATTTAAAACTTATTATTATTTTTAATACCACTGTTGTCTCTCTCAACTCACTACTAACTATCTATCGACTAATGTATGTTTACATTTGAAAGAGAGAGAGAAAGAGAGAGAGAGAGAGAGAGAGAGAGAGAGTAAAAATAGGGCTATCCTTACGGGACAGGTATTTAGGGAGAGAGAGAGAGAGAGAGAGAAAGAGAGAAAGAGAGAAAGAGAGAAGAGAGAGAGAGAGAGAGAGAGAGAGAGAGAGAAAGAGAGAGAAAGAGAGAGAGAGAGAGAGAAAGTAAAAATAGGGCTTTCCTTACGGGACAGGTATTTAGAGAGAGAGAGAGAGAGAGAGAGAGAGAGAGAGAGAGAGAGAGAGAGAGAGAGAGAGAGAGAGAGAGAGAGAGAGCCAGAAATTGGATCAAATTTTTAAGTTCAGGAAATTTCCGATCGATTTCCGCGTTTTTTTGCTTTATTTAAAAAAAACATTTGCAAACCTTTTTTTTATTAGTAATTTAAATCATTTATTATTTTTTTATGTTCATTAATATGATTTTATTTATTCACAACAACAACAACAACTAAGATAACCTGGAAATGGTTTACATATTATATAAAACTAAATGTTAATTTTTAATATATATATATATATAGTATATATATTATATACAGTGTATATACTATTACTATTAAACTAAATTTTAAAAAAAAAAAAAAGTTTATATATTTTTTGTTATTTATGAACTTATATATACAATACTACTGTAAGTAAAACTTATAACTTGTTTTTTATTAGTTGTAAATAATATACAGTAAATAAATGAGAAAAATAATAATAATAATAATAAATGTTATTGTAATAAAATTTACACTTAATATGACTTATTAGAAGATATATTTTTGTTATATTATTAATATTATTATAATAATATTTTTTTTCTAAAAATTTAAATTTAAAATGATATTTAAATTTTTAGTCAATAAATGTCTGTCATATACAATGTATATAAATTAAATTGTAATTATTATAATTGATTTATAGTTAGTTATTGATGTATATAAATTAAAATAAAATATTAACTAAAACAACTAATTTAAAACAATTGCAAAAAAAACAACTAAATTATGATAACTTATATAAGATTTTTATATTAATATTATTATTATTATTATAAAAAACTAGTTTTTTTTGTGTGTGTTTTAGGTTTAAATAACAAATCAATTTTGTTTTTTTTTATCATACAAACAATATTGACATTTAAAAAATAATTGTTTTTTCCAATTGTTTAGATTTTTTACTATTATTTATAATTTTATCTTAAACAAACAAATAATTGGGTATTTAAAAAAACTGGTTTTATATATATATATATATATATATATATGAATATATAGTATATATAGTATATATAGTGTATATTTATATATATTTATCGGTAATCAGATTAATACTGTTATATCTTATAAATATTAACAACAAAATATTAAATGGGGAGTCAATAATAAATATATATATATATATAAATTATATATTAATTAAATAACTATAACTATTTGTATCAATTTTTTAACAGAGAGAGAGAGAGAGAGAGAGAGAGAGAGAGAGAGAGAGAGAGAGAGAGAGAGTATTGCAATATAATAATTAATATATATATATATATATATATATATATATATATATAATGAGTTCATTATCATAGATACTATTGTTTTATAATTAGTTAGTTGTCTTTAAATATTAAAAAATAAATAAATTATTTTTTTTTTGAGATATAAAAAAATATTACGGAAATAAATACAAATAGTTTAATACAGTTTATTACTATTATATACTAATAACTGATAGTATAATAAATCATTTAATATTTTAAATACTTACTGGTATTTAAATACCGGGTATTATATATATATATATATATATGTATATAAATATATATTTCTAGATATTTTAATCAATTGTTTCAAATATTTGTGTCAATAATAATAATAATCCAAAAAACAATTATCATATGATGATGACCTCTAAATTTGTGTTTTAATACACAAAATAATTATAATAAATACAATTGATAGATAAAATTAATTAATTTAGTAAAATTAAGTTTTTAGGTAAAAAAAATAATAATAAATAAAGTTTTATATATCAGTTTAAATAAATTAATGAAATTAAATTAAAACAATTTAGAGATTTTGTTATTAATTATTTTTAAAAAAAAAATTATTTGTTTATATATATATATTGAATATATTTGAAAACATTTTTTTTTTTAATTTAATTATTTACTTACATGTGTTAGTTGTGTCAATGGGTATAAATGTTGTAATTAAATAATTTTTTTTAATTTATAATAACCATATAAATAAAAACTATTAGTATTTTTTTAATTATATAATTAATTATTTTTAATTATTTATTTAACATATTTATAAAAAAAATTAATTAATTAATATAATTACTTATAGAAAATTAAATATTATATTACTTTTAAATATAATTGTTAATACATATATATAAATATTTAACAAACAAACAAATAAAAACATTTTTATACCAATAATTTTTTTAAAAAAAAATTAGATAATCGTTGATTAATAAGTGTTAATCATTTTTTAGATTATTAGTTAACAAATAAAAACATTAATAATAATAATAATAATAATCAATGTCATAATAAATAATAATAAAAAATATTTTTAATAATACAACTTTGTATATATATATACTGTATAACTTAATAATACTTATATAATAATAATATTAATAATATATATATTAAAAAACTATCGATAATAAAATTAATTTAAAAAAAATCAAATAAATATTTTTATTACTTTTTATTTTTTTTAAAAAAACATATGTTAAATGTTTATTAAATTTATTAAAATTAAAATTTTATTTAAATAAAAAAAATGCGGTTAAGATTTCAATATACAGTATATATAGTTATTATTATATCTTATATACAAGTAATTAAAATATATATTTATATATAATTATATTTATGTATAGATATACCGATAACTATATATATATATATATATATATACTAAGTTATATACTGACATATATTTTATTATATTATATAATACTAATACAGTACTTACTGTACTATAAATATATAATTTATAAATATATATATATATATATATATATACTGTATATAATTGTAGATAAACTTGTAATACATGTTTAAAAAAAACTTTTATTTGCAAACATTTATTATTATTATTATTTATATTATTATTATTATTACCAAACAGTAAACAGGTTATTGAAATTGAATTTTATTATTATTATTATTACAACAAAAAAAATCTATAAATTTATTTATATAATCATAATTTTAAATATATATATATATTTAATTAAATTAAATTAAAACACTAACGCTAGCTATTAGTATTAAAATCAAATAATAGTGTAATAAATGTTTTAAAAACTGTATTCAATATATATATATATAGCGAGTACAGTATATATAGAAATATTGTTGACATAAACTTATTGTAATTCTATAGGAAAACGTCAACAAAAAACTAAAAAAACAAAATAAATATGTATTGCATTTGTGTTTTGAATTTTTGTTTGTGTTTTGATTCAAAACTTTTGAATTTTTTTTTTGAATTAAAAAAATAATTGTTTTTTTTCGGCGCACGTGTTGTGTGTGTCCGCCGCAGCCGCACGTGTTTGACACACGCCTATCGAAGATAACATACAAGATATATACATATATATATATATATATATATGCTATGATATGTTGGCCAGTAGTAGTGGTCAGAATTGGTGGTCAACAGTATCGGTTGTTACGGCGGCCGTCAATAATAATCGTAACCAATGTATGGATCAATTCATCGCCGAAAAGTCATCACCGATTGACGCCACCACTGTTGGACACCAACCATAACGATGATGACCACCAATACCGCCACCGCCGCAGCCGACGGGAGCCACAGAATCAGCAGCAGCTGGTCGTTGATCTTAGTTTCGATGCCGACATGACTCGACCAGAGTGTTACCGATTGGCCCGTGATTTGCTGGAAATCTATAGATTGAATAGCTCGGCCGCACCCGAAGCTAACATTGTGGTCAACTTGTGTTGCGGTAATTATGGCCAATCAATGTCCACCAATAATAATAACAACAGTATAACACTAGACTATTTGCGTCAGTATTTACCGAAAATGGATGTCAACGGCTTCGGTGACCACTTTCGTGTTTATCCGCAGTCATCGTATCGGCAATTGTTTCCAACCGAACGTCTTGTCTATTTGACGGCCGACTCCGCGGACACTGTCGACTACAATACTACCGATATCTACATAATTGGCGGACTGGTTGAGAAACGATTGTTCAAAAAGCCGTCCAATCGGCGAACACTATTGAAAGCCCGGGCCGAAGGTCTCAGATCGGGTCGATTGCCTATCGATGACCTAATCGGCCGACATATGACCAGTTCTTGTATACTGTTTTTGCCTCAAATCTACTCAATATTACGTGACGTAAAACTTGGGTCCGATTGGGAACAAGCGGTCCGGCGATATGTTCCGCACTGGAAGTTAACGGCAGAAAAAACATTACCGTCCGGTATATAAACACTTGACATACATAAGCATAGTTGAGGTGTGTGTGTGTATGTATGTATGTATGTATGTGTGTGTGTGTGTGTGTGTGTGTGTGTGTATGTATGTATGTATGTATGTGTGTGTGTGTGTGTGTGTGTGTGTGTGTATGTATGTATGTATGTATGTGTGTGTGTGTGTGTGTGTGTGTGTGTGTGTGTGTGTGTGTGTGTGTGTGTGTATGTATGTATGTATGTGTATGTGTAGTACAATAAATAAATTGTTGTTTTAGTTATAAATTATAATATATTAATATAATTTTATAATTTATAAGTTTTTTAAATATAAATTATATATATATATATTGAAAATAAAATGAAATAAATTTTATATATTTATCAATAATCTGTCATTTAATTTTATTTTGTAACAATTTATTTTTTTTACTAATTAACATAAATTTCATAAACTATTTGCATAAATAGTTAAATACATTATATAATTAAAAATGAAATCAATTTAATTATTATTACAATATTATTGTTATAATGTGTTTGTGTTTGAATAGAAAAATAAATAAATCAATCAATATATTAATAATAATAGTTATTATTACAGTATTAATCCGTTATTAAACAAATAATATATCAAACAATAAATCAAACCTCAAATAATAATTTATAGCATTAGACCCCGCATATAGCCACCCCCACCCCCCGCCCCATTAATATATTAAAGTTTAAATGTTAAACATTTGGATTTTTAGTTGTCTGTAATATTACGCCCCCACCCCCTCTTAAAACAATGCAATTTATATTTAATAATGACTACAACAACAAACAAAATATGTCTTAATTATTATTAATTATTAATAAATTTAATTAATTATAAAAATTTTAAAACTATTTTAACATTTATTTGATATTAATTCTGGGCTTTAAAAATAGTTTAAGTCATTGCCATTATACAGCACTCATACATATAACCCACTAAACCCCCCCCTCACTCCCCCACGACTTCATATATAGTTCCAGGGAGGGGTGGGGGCTATATGCGGGTCTATTTCGGTACTATAAATTCAATTTAAAAAAAACAAAACAAAAAATCTTTTAATCAAAATTTCAATCAAATGTCAACAACGACTACATTGTCGACTAAAATCAAGTAATACTACTACTCATGTCTACACATAATTGCCGACCGATTGGTCTACAAAAACGACTGTCCAATTGGCGGAAACTATTAATGAAATCCAGAGGCCGATGGTTTGAGATCTGGTGGTCGCTTACCTATCGGTTGGACCAACACATCGGCGCCACACATATGACCAGTTGTTTGTGACTCTCCGGCAACTCGTTTGTCAGTTTTTTTTTCGGTGCCGGCGGCGGTTGTTTGTAGGCCTGGTTCGAGCCTATCGTTACTGCAATCGTAACCCCCAATCGTTACACTTGAAACATACTTTCCGTCATCGATATCATTGTCGTAGTCTTTGATCGGCTCAAGCGATTCGGTATCGATTGTGTCATCAATTAGATTGAGTCCCGAACTTTCCGATGCCGTCGATAAATATGAGGTCAACACAGGTTTGCCGTCATCGACGGTCTCTTTGCGAACCGTATCGTCTGAGACAACGACATCACTACTACTACTACTACTACTACTACTACTACTACTACTACTACTACTACTACTACTACTACTACTACTACTACTACTACTACTACTACTACTACTATTGTTGTCATTAAATTTGGTATTTTCCGCTAATATTGCAATAATATTACTAATCAATTGAATCCTATCATCAATAAGACAATAATCAAATGCAAAACCATTATTAGATGAATAGACTATTAATCGCTTATTTGATTTATTCATAAATCTTTTTGTCGACAATTCATTCAAATACTCTTTCGTAATATTAGTTGAATAAAAAAACCAAAGATTTGAAACAACGAGTACTCCATATACTCTAATACTGGCTTTTTGTGTAATTCTTAAGTTATTTTGGCCGACGGCCACCATCTGACCTATCAATTGTGCGGTACTGTCCTTATCGTCGATATTCATATCGTATGACTTTGTTTCAACAGTTAATACAATTAATTCATTGTTGTCTGAATCGACTACCAGTGCGTCCGGTTTAGTCCTGACGTAGCCATCATTTAGTTGATATCTTAGCATTTTATGGGTTATATCCAGACAATTGAAACCATTAATGTTTTTAACCGTATGTATAACATATTCAGCCCATGAGTTAACTGGTTTTTCGTCAACAAATCTTTTAGATTTGTTTTTAAGTATTTGTTTAAGAAATGGATTACCAAATTGCAAGTCTTTGTCGTAGATATTATAATCTGAATAATAATAATAATAAATAGTTAATAATAGTTAATAATAAATGTTATATAATTTACTAATAATTTGCTTTAGTTGTAATTTCGGCAAACAATTGATACTAATTAGACGGCAATTAAATTTAGATTTTAAGTTAATATGATTTAATCTACAATTTTTTGTTTGCGATAGTTTTATAGCATATCTAATAATTGTGATAAACATAATACAAATAATAGCAAAAATTATAACTTAAATCATAAAATTAATAATTTTTTTTTGAACTCAAAATATTACATGAAAAAAATTATTAAACTAAGTATTATTATTATTTACAAAATATAGAAAATACAAAAATTACATTACATTTACCTTTATTTAGACGTTTATTATTATTAATAGTCAATACATTGCCATCGATGACCTCAAAGTCAACATTGAAATAGTCATCAATTGTTTTGTTTGTGAAATATTTGGTATTAATCAGTGAATCCAATAGTGTGTCCAATGAATTATCTGTTAGTTCTGATGTAATGAAAAGTATTTAAAAAAATTATTTTTGTCTCTCTCTCTCTCTCTCTCTTTACCATTAAATCACTCACTCTTACCATAATTATCTTGATTTATATCTTCAATCCATTGATTGATATTCAGCGTACAAACAATTGGATGCATTGACTGTAACTGTCTTAGAGTAGTGTCTGAAATATGAATGCCATCGTATGTATCGATACAATGAGGTATAACTCGGTGTTGATGTTGTTGTTGTCGTCGATGACTTGGATGTGTATGTAATGCTTTCGCTGTAACCAATCGGTTACCACCACTTTGTCGGCCAAACAATTGAAACGATAATAATCGCAATGATATCGCTGTTGTTGATGTCGTTGTTGTCTTCAATCGACTCAACATTGATTGCATTGTTGTAGATGTAATGCTGCGGACAGTAGAGGACAGTCGTCTCAATAAAACAATTACCACTCTATTGATTGATTGATTGATAAACTCCTGTATATATAAGTAAACCGTTAATAAATTCAATCAAAATTATATATCAATAATAATAATGAATACAAAATACCCGATTGAATGACAATTATCAGGTCGTCATCGATGGTGTGATTCAATAAACAAACAAATTGTATGATAATTATTGATATATCAGTATTGATGTCTTCAATGAATCAATTGATTGTTTCAATTAATTTGTGTCCAAAAATTTATAAAAAAAAAACAATTCAATCAAAATTATATATCAATAATAATAATGAATACAAAATACCCGTCGATTGAATGACCAGAAAAAAAATAATTGTGACCACAATTATCGGGTCGTCATCGATGGTGTCATTATATTCAACAAACAAATAAAATCAAAGACAACAACCAATTGAATGATAATTATAGACATATGATATCAGTATTGATGTCTTCAATCAATCAATGAATGAATGAATCAATTGATTGATTGATTGATTGATTGATTGATTGATTGTTTTGTTGATTTGATTTGAATTTAGTTTATATTAAATATTATTAATTAATTAATTAATTTTAATTCAAATTTGTTTGTAAACAAAACACAAAAAACATTTTGTATTCTATTATATATTAATATAGTATAGAGATATTAGACGTGAAAAACCCATAACAAACTGTTTGGGACTAAACCAAACCAAAAACGCGGTATTTAATATAACTAATATATATATATAAATATTTATTTATAATTTTATATTTTTATTGTACTTTATCTAACGGTACAAATAATTTTTGTAATAAACAAAAATTAATTTATAAATTATTTTCTTATTAAAAATGTTATTAATTAACAAAAATTAGTTTAAACCGAAACCCATTTCAATTGATTATACAGTTATAACAAAAACAATACAATAGTCTAGTGTTTAATATACAGTACAGTACTTACAGTAGTTTACTATAGAATCATATGATATGAAAGTCATATTTTGACTCATACTGTATGAGTCATACAGTATAAAAACTGTACGATTATAATCAAAACCAAAACAATCAGTAGACGCACCACAAAAACAAATAGATCATAGATTACATTTAATAAATATATATATACATACAAATAAAATAGTATGTATAATAACTATGTAAGTCTATGCTTTGTAAAAAACTCCGCCCCTTTAAAACATTAAACACTAATACAGTGCATACACTACTGTGTATTTTGTTTGTTTTGGTTTTGCATATAATTAAATATTTTTTTATACTGTATAACACAGTATAAAGTTTTTACAGTCAAATATAAACCGTACAGTATTTATATAGATATTGTTGACATAAACTTATTGTATTTCTATAGGAAAACGTCAACAATATATAAAAAAAATATATGTATTAAATGTATTGCATTTTTCTATTTATATTTTTTGTGATTTGTTTTGAATTTTAAACTTTTTTTTTGGCGCACGTGTTGTGTGTCCGCTGCACGTGATTCACACGCGGGGAGACTGTTGTTGACCAATAGTAGTCAGATATATATATGTGGTCAGTACGGCAGCTCATCGACAACTGTTTATTGTTACGGCGGCCGTCAATAATAATCGTAACCAATGTATGGATCAATTCATCGCCGAAAAGTCATCACCGATTGACGCCACTGTTGGACACCAACCATAACGATGATGACCACCAACACCGCCGCAGCCGACGGGAGCCACAGAATCAGCAGCAGCTGGTCGTTGATCTTAGTTTCGATGCCGACATGACTCGACCAGAGTGTTACCGATTGGCCCGTGATTTGCTGGAAGTCTATCGATTGAATAGCTCGGCCGCAACCGAAGCTAACATTGTGGTCAACTTGTGTTGCGGTAATGATGACAACCAATCAATTTCCACCAATAATAATAATAACAACAACAGTATAACACTAGACTATTTGCGTCAATATTTACCGAAAATTGATGTCAACGGCTTCGGTGACCACTTTCGTGTTTATCCGCAGTCATCGTATCGGCAATTGTTTCCAACCGAACGTCTTGTCTATTTGACGGCCGACTCCGCGGACACTGTCGACTACAATACTACCGATATCTACATAATTGGCGGACTGGTCGAGAAACGATTGTTCAAAAAGCCGTCCAATCGGCGAACACTATTGAAAGCCCGGGCCGAAGGTCTCAGATCGGGTCGATTGCCTATCGATGACCTAATCGGCCGACATATGACCATTGGTTGTATACTGTTTTTGCCTCAAATCTACTCCATATTACGTGATGTAAAACTTGGGTCCGATTGGGAACAAGCGGTCCGGCGATATGTTCCGCACTGGAAGTTAACGGCAGACAAACATTACCGTCAGGTATAAACACTTGACATACATAAGCATAGTTGAGGTGTGTGTTTGTGTATGTATGTATGTATGTATGTATGTATGTATGTATGTGTGTGTGTGTATATATATGTATGTGTATGTGTATGTGTATGTGTATGTGTATGTGTATGTATGTGTGTATGTATGTATGTATGTATGTATGTATGTATGTATGTGTGTGTGTGTATATATATGTATGTGTATGTGTATGTGTATGTGTATGTGTATGTGTATGTGTATGTGTATGTGTATGTGTATGTATGTGTGTATGTATGTATGTATGTATGTATGTATGTGTGTGTATGTATGTGTATGTGTATGTATGTGTGTATGTGTGTGTATGTGTATGTATGTGTGTTTATGTATGTGTGTATGTGTATGTATGTGTGCTTATGTGTGTGTGTATGTGTGTGTGTGTGTGGGTGTGTATGTATAGTACAATAAATTGTTATGTTTTAGTTATAAATTATAATATATTAATATAATTTTATAATTTATAAGTTTTTTAAATATAAATTATATATATATATATTGAAAAAAAATAAAATAAATTTTATATATTTATCAATAATAATGTCATTTATTTATAAATTTTATTTATTTTAATTAATTATTTAATTTTATTTTGTAACAATTTTTTTACTAATTAACATATAAATTGCATAAATATATAATAATAATAATAATTTATTTTTAGCATTAAGCAATGAGATACATAACAAGTTGTATTCATAAATAATGATTATACATTGAAAATTTCATATAAATAATTTACAAATTTTTTATAATTAGATTCGTTTCTAATATACATTGGTAATGAATTAAATAAATTTATACAATAATTGAAAAAATGTTTATCAATTAACACAATACGTTTAAAATTTGTTTTAATTTTTATACCATTACGTGATGTGTTATAAAAGTTTAATATATTAAACCAATTGTTAGGTACAGTGTTGGACATAGATTTGATTTGAAAAACATGTTTTAATATTTTAATTTTATTTCGATTATCTAATGTGTTTAAACCTAAAATTTTTAATCTATTTTCATAATCTATATTAACATAACCTAATTTATAACATATATATCTAGTAATCTTTCGTTGTATTGACTCAATTAAATTTGATTGTGTTTTAGTTGGAGTCCAACACATATTTGAATACTCAATGATCGGAAGTATATATGTTTTATACATATTTAAAAATGTTTTTCCGTTTACTTTTTTACAAATATATTTTAATGTATAAAATTTAGAAAAAGCTTTTTTATGTAAATCATTACAATGAGAGCTAAAAGTCATTTTATTATCATAGGTAACCCCTAAATGTTTGTGTGTTATAACAGTATCGATAGATATATTATTCATATAATATGTATTTAATTTACAGTTTTTTAATGTAATTCTCAAGTGTTTTGTTTTATTTACATTTAATTTCAAATGTTTATCATTACAATAATTTTCAAAGATATTCAAATCATTTTGTAATAAATTAATGTCATTTGTATTTTTAATAATCTTAACAAATACCGTATCATCAGCCCATTGAAATGTAGGACAGTTAATATAATTAGGTAAGTCTGATACATAAAGATTATATTCAATAGGACTTAATACACATCCCTGGCCTACACCACTACCAACTTTATTAGGAATTGTATATAAATTATTATATTCTACAAACTGTTTCCTATTTGTTAAAATATCTTGTATTATAGATAAATATTGTCCAGTTATTCCTAATTCACTTAATTTATTTATTAGTTTATCATGTGGTACTGTATCGAAACAATTAGATAAATCTGTAAATATTAAATCTACACAGATACAATTTTTATCATTTAAACCATTAAATATTATATTTTGTATATCAATGTGTTGGTTATGTAAACTTATATGTTTTTTATAACCGTACTGTTCGTACGGTATCAAATTATTAGCAATAATATAAGGTTTAATTTTGTTTAATATAATAGTTTCAAACAGTCTTAATATGTTGGGTAATACGGTAATAGGTCTATAAGATTCAAACAAATGTTTATTTTTTTGTTTTTTTAAAATAGGAGTTACTTTTGCTAACATCATATTTTTGGGCATTTTATTGTAAAAAATAATTTTATTATATAAAAAATATAACAATTTTGTCGACCCATTCAAACAATTTTTTAGAATTTTGTTGTTAATAAAAGTAATACCATTTGATTTGTTAAATTTAAAAGTTTTATAAGCATTTAATATATCGTTATATGATATGTCAATGTCTGGTAATTCATTATATGTATTAATATTTGCAATAATTGTATCGTTATTTATATCAGAATTATAGTTAGAGTTAAACTGTTTATTAAAATTTTCAATAATCTCTTTGATTTCTATTATGTTTTTTGAATCTTTTTTAAAAATAATATCATTGTTGTTATCTGTGTTTATGTTTTTTATATGTTTGTAAAAACTTGAAAAACTTTTTGATTTATTTATTAAATTATTAATTTTCTCTGTTTCATAAATCTCTATTTGTTTATGTATATCATTGTTTAGTTTTACAATAGTAGATAAATGTTTGTGTTTTTTGTTAACTTGATATAGCTTAGAAAGTTTACGTTTTTTAATAATTAATTTATGTATATATTTTGGATATTTAGTATTATTTCTACATTTTATAACTTTTATTGGAAATGATTTATCAAATAGTAATTGAAAATGCATTTCAATTTTGTTATAAATTTCATTAATGTTTATACAGTCAATACAAACTGTTTCCCAATTAATCTCATATAATAATTCATTAAATTTTAATAAATTATTTTCATTGATAATATTAATTATTTGAGTTTTAATAACTGTATTTTTAACTTTCTTAACATTAATATTAAAATTTAAAGCTAAATGATCACAATTTTGTGAAATATTTTCAACAGTATTTACATTAAAAATATGATTTGAATTACAAAAAATAAGATCTAAGATATTATTACTTTTTGGATATGTTATGTCATTTACGTATTGTTTGAAACCATAACTATTAAACAATTGATTGATTTTTATCGCAAAATTATTTGATTTTAGATCATAATTAATATTCAAATCTCCAACTATTACTATACTATCATATTTTGTTAATTTTTGTAATTTATTTATTTCATTATCTAAATTATTATATAGATCTAAATTTGATTGTTTATTTGGAGGAATATATACCGTAATTAACAAAATTTTCAAATTTTTAATTATAAGTTCAATTGCAATACTCTCTTGTTTATCAAATAAATTAAAAATTTCTATACATTTATATATATTTTTAACAGCTATTAGACATCCGCCGCCTTTTGTTTTTTGTCTATCTTTACGAAAAATTTTATAATTAGTAGAAATAAGATTATTAGGAAAATTGTTTGTAAACCAAGTTTCATTAACTATTAATATATCTATATTTAGTTCAATTAATTTATATTTTAGTAAATTAATTTTGTTGCATAAACTCCGAGCATTAGTAAAATATACATTTATGTTATTATTGCTTACATTTTTGTTTAATTCATTGGATGTAACGTTTGTGGGCTTATGTATTGAAAAACTTGAGGATTGATAGCCGACATCACTGATTGATTTGGAAGATATGACATGTTTGGTACATATTGTTGAAACAATTGATTGTTTTGAAACGGCATCACTTGATATGGTTTTGTGTTTTGATTGTGAAACACACGAGTGTTGGGCAAAAAATCCTGTTTTTGATTACCATATCTGTTGAAGTTTTGTTTGAATTGATTTATGTTTTGTCGTCTATTGTGATAATTATCTCTTGAATCATGTCTTGAATCATGTCTTGAATCAGGTCTTGAATCAGGTCTTGAATCAGGTCTTGAATCAGGTCTTCGATCATGTCTTAGATTATGTCTTGAACTTGAATTTAAAGTACTTCTGCATTGATTAGCTTTGTGTCCAAATTTAAGACATCTGTAACATTGAAATGAATGTCTTCTGGTGTCTTGTTTTTGGCTATACTTTGTCTTGAAATTCAATAGTATTTTCTCTAATGTCTTAAGTCTGTCATCAATGGTGTCAATGTTTACCACTCTTTGACTAGAAATCACTTCAATTTGGCTGTCGATGTGGTTATTGTCTTCGAGGTCGTTAAAATCATTGTCTTCTATTGATTGGGATATCACTGGTGTTTTGTTGACCGTATTTAATGTCATATTTATCTCTGTTTCTTCATATTTAGTCTTCTCATTGATGGCAATGTTTACCATTTCAGTGATATATGTCTTGATATCATCCTTCTTAATGTTACCACTCTTTTTGTCGATGACATCAAACAATTCATTGCATTTAGTTTGCAATAAATGGCACACTTTTGAGACCAAATTTAGTGATACTGTATCGGACATGACTTTAAATTGTCATTTAGTTTGAGAGCACTTTAATTGATAGTATTTTAATACTAATATCATTCAATAATATTTAATTTAATTCAATTTAAATTGTAGTTAATTTTATTTTTTAAAAATGTGTTATTGTTTACATCACGTGTAATTGTATTGTGGAAAACAATTCAAAACTAATGTAATATAATAGTGTTATTTGATAATACAATGTAATATAATACAATATGTAATATAATACATTATATAATTACAGTAAAAATGAAATCACTTTTAATTATTATTACAATATTGTTGTTATTATGTGTGTTTGAATACAAAAAAAAAATTAAAATAAAATAAATTAATATACATTATTAGTATTACAGTATTAAACACTGTTATTATTCATCAATAGTTATCAATTAATCGATAATAATAATTTGTAATAATTAATTAAAATATATATATATATATATAAATAAATTAAATTAGTTTTTTTTTAAAAAAATAAATAAATAAAAAACAACATAATATTTTCATCATTTGAAACAAAACTCAAATTTTTTTTTTTTTTAAATATATTAATAATGAAAAAATAATAATAAAATAATTTACAATAAATTCAATACAACAACAAAAAAAATCTAATAATTAATTAAAAAAAAAAAATCAAAAAAAAAACACTACAATACTGTACAACATATAGATGACTGTCCACTACCGCCGCCGCCGCGTCTACGCCGATGTCGACGCTGATTGGCCGCCCGTACGGCCACATCAAACACTTTGTGTACACCCAGACGATTTTTGGCCGAACACTCTATATAGCCAACGGCACCGATAGTATCGGCCATTTTCCAGCCATCATCGGCGGTAACTGTTTTCTCCGATTGCAGATCCGATTTATTGCCGACCAATACTACGGGTATACCGGGTAAATAGGTATTGATTTCTGGTTCCCATTTAAGTTTAATATTGGCAAACGATATCCGAGAGTCTATACTGAAACATATGACCACTACGTCGGTGTCCGGATAGGATAGCGGACGTATACGTTCGTAGTCTTCCTGTCCCGCGGTATCCCATAGGGCCAGACATCCCTGTTGTTTGTAATTGAAACCGAAAAAAATTTGTTAATTAATTTAATTTTTAAGTTTTTTTTTAAAAAATAGTTTTAAATTTAGTTTTTTTTGTTGTTGTTGTTTAACTAAATTTAATTAATAGATATTTATGAATAAAAATATTTTTTTTAATAAAAAAAACTATTATACACTGTTGTATAATAATATTATAATTATTTGGCAAATAATATATACAGTATATAAAGTTTTTTTTCTGTAATATATATTTTTTATATATTATATTTTAAGTATAGTATTGATAGTATAATTATGATATATTAATTTATTTTTAATTTAATTGAATAATTTAAAAAAACTATAGTTTATTGAAATTTACAGTATTTATAATATATAGGAATCATTATAATGATTATGATTTTTTAAAAAAACTTAACTTTAAATAAATTTTTTTTGGCTATAAATATTTAAAAATTATTATTTTAAGTAATTATATAATATTATTATCGTTATTATCAATTTTACAACTAATTTGATAATTTGTATTTGCTAATTGTTTTTGAAAATTTTTGATAATTATTTATATTATTAATATTTTTTATGATGATAATGATGATGATAATGTAAGATACTATTTAGTAATTTTATTATTTTTAAATATTATATTATACTATATTTTATTTTGTAATAATAATAATAACACGATTTGTTAAATGCAAACAAAAAGCAAAAATAAAATATTTTCACTAATTTTTTTTTATAATAAAATAACGATTGAATTATTAGATAAGATTTTTTTTGTTTAGTTTTTAAAAATATTGGAAACAATATATTCAATATATAAGAGATTTTAATTATTTTTATTTTGTAATTTTATATACAGGTATATAATGTATAAATAATATATAATAATTATTATTATATATATATAATACTCTTTTGTTTGTAAATTAATTTTATTTAAATTTTTTTGTTGTTGTTTTAAAATTTCAAATCAAATATTTTGTAATTATTAGTATTCATTGAATTTATTTTGGATTTATTCAAAAAAATTGATTTATTATTTTAAAAAATAATGTAAAATATATTTTTTAAATATATATATTGTTATTATTATGATTATGTGATTAAACTAAAATTTATGACATTTTTGTCATATAAATTGGTTTATATTGTTAAACAAAAATTTTTATATTAACAATATATAAAATTATCAAAAATAACTGACATATTAGTGATTTAAATGTATATACAATATAGCAATAAAAAGCTTAATATTAAAAATATTTTTATACATAGATTTTTATTTTGATTGAAATTTTATTTTTGATTAAAATTTTAATAATTTTTAAAAATTCAATAGTAATTGGAAATTATTGACACAAATATTTTTTTTTATTATAATAAGTATAGGAAATTGTATTTAATATTATTTTATTATATTTATGTTATTTTTTTTGGTTAAAATGTAATATTAGATAAACTATTTGTAACACAATTTAAAAAATATTTAACATATTTTAATAATATTATTAAAATAAAATTGCTTTAATAATTATGTACTAAAATGCTGTTTAAATTTTTAAAATGTTAATTATTATTATAAGATTAAAACAAAAATTATTAAATTTTATAAATACTAAATATATATAAAAATTATTAATATTATTTTAATTTCAATGTTAGGAATTAATAATAATAACAAAAATGTTTTTAAATTAATTGGGTTTTAAAACCAAAAAATAAAAAATAAATTTGTTTGTTTGATTTGAAATAAAATTGTATTATTTAAGTATTATTTATTAAATACTAATTTTTTCAAAAAAAAAACAAATAAATTAGAAAATAATAGAAAAATTCAATGATTAGTAAATACTGGTATTATTATTATTATTATTATTATAATTATGTATTAATTTTATTTATTATTATTATTATTATTGTGCTATAAATTGTTATCATAAACATATATTTTGATTTGATAACTACTGTATTAAAAAAAAAGTTATTATATATATATTTTTTTTTTTGATAATTTGAATATTTGTTTAAAATTTAACAAAAAAATATATGTTATAAAACTTAAACAATAATTTAAAAAAATAGTTGATAAATAAAACTAGTTTTTATTTGATGTTAGAAAATAATGATTACAAACAAACAAATCAATAAAAATTTATTTGTTATATAAATTAAAATTTCAAATTATATTATAGATAAATAACAATTGTTTATATCATATATATATATATAAATAAAATAATTGTTAATAATTATAAATTCAAATTATTTGTTTACAGTTATTGATAATAATTTATATTTATATAAATATTTATAAATAATAATAATAATAATAATAATAAGTATTACTTATTAAATACTGTATATAAAATTAATGTCATAATTAATAAACATTATTAGTTTAAATGTCAAAACAATTAATTAACATTTAAATATTATTATTATTGATATATAAAAATCTATTAAATTAATTTTTGATGTATAATAATAATTAAAATGAAAATTATGTTGTAATGTGTTTATCATTATTTATAATGTTAATTAAATATAAATTATTTAATTAATTATTTATTTAGTATATTTGATAAACACTATATAAATTTTTTTTTAGTATACAGTGTATATAATATATAAATATTTATTATTATTATTAATAATTTTTTATTTACTATTCAATTATATTTATATTTAATTCAACAACAACAAAATAAATAATAATTATTATTATTGCAAAGCATTTATTGTTTTGTATATATAATAATAATATTGTAATAAATTTTTGTTAGTAAAAATCAATTTTACTATTAAATAAAAATTTGCAATTAAATTGAACTGTAATACTAATACTGTAGTAATAATAATAATAATAATAATTTTTTTATATATAAATATATATTTGATTTCAAGAGCAAAACTAGTTAAACAAAAAATATTTTATTATAATTTTTATTACAATTCACTCATCCATTAAATAAAATGTGTGACAAAAATAATAGCTTAGGAGAAAAAAATCTATCATAAAATATATATAAACTTTATTATTATTATTATTATTATATACATATATATAGTATATATATATATATATATTTAATTCAGGTTAACATTTTGAACACATTGTAATTTTATATGACTTATAAAACTAAAAAACTAAAATAAAATAAATAAATAATTGTGACATTTGTTTGTCTGTTTACTAAATTATTTTATTTATTTTTTTGTTTTTCGGTCACAATTAGTTGACAAATAATAATAATAATGAGACAAACAATTGTTAGTTTAAATATATATATTTTAAAAATCCTTTAAAAAAATTTATAATAATTATTATTAATAACATTTTATAACAACAATATTTCACACAAATTATATACTAAATTATATATATATATTAAAATTTAGGGTATTTTCTCATGATTTTATGCATTAATAATATTTTATATAATTTTATAAAAATATTATTTAACAACAATTATAATGTCATATATGAGAGCAATTAGACAACAAAAAAAAAGAGATGAATAAATAATTTAAAATTTAAAATAATAATAAATATTATGTTTATAATTAGTATATAAAAATACATTATTTTTTATGTTATATATATATATAAATTATAATTAAAATTAATATCTATATATATTGTGTATTTAAATAAAAAAAATATTTGACATTTCAATGTAAAGTACATTAAATGATAATTTTATTTATTATAATTTTTGTTGTTGTTGAGAAAAGTTTAATAATAATTAAAATTTCATAAAAAATAACTTTAAAAATTTATTATATATATATATTTTGTGTACTTTAAAATAATAATAATAGTCTCATCAAAAATATATGTTAAACATTATATTATTATAATTTTTTTGGTCAAATCTCACAATTATATATTAAATAATTTTGTTTATTCATAGGTTATAAAAAAATATTATATATATATTTAATTCACATTGTTTTAACATAATATAATAAAAAATTACATTTTAAATATTTAAATATTAGTGTCCAGGTTATCACACAAATAGTTATCCATTAAATATTTTATTTTAAAAAAAATAGTTTTATCACAGGTTAGTACTGTATTGTAATATAAGTAAATTACGGTAAAGTTATTATTATAAGTTTTGAAACAAAAAAAATATATATATATAATTTTTTCATAAATTTAAATTGTTATATAATGTATATTTAATTATTTCTATCTATTTATATATGAATGTTGTTATCACTGTTGTTGTTATCACTGATATATATATATATATAAAATATTTTGTATCATCTATTATATCATACAATGTGTAATATACTATATATATATATATAATATTAATGATAATAATAATATTGCTATTGTAATGATGTTAATAATAATAAAAGAGGACACATATAAACTAAATATAATGATATAAATAACAAAATCAAAAAATAAAAATATTTATATATGAGATTCAAAATAAAATAAATTCAATTTAAAGAAAAATAAATTTACACAAAAAAAACAAATTTTTATTTTAGTTTATAGATTGCATTCATAATTCATAATCTTATATATATTTTTTAATAATCAATACTACTATACACTATAATACAGTACTAAATAGTGTTTTAATAATAATAATAGTTATTAAGTGTATATCATTTGATATCCATTAAAAATATTATTCAATTTTATACAACAGTATATATATACTGTATATATTAAATGTATGATATTTTCAATTAAAAATTGAAATTATTATTTATAAAAATAATATATAAAATATATATTATATAAACAATTTCTTATAAAATTATTATTTTTTGTATCTTATATATGATATATTGATAGTATATTTATTATTATTATTACTACTACTAGTATTATTATTTTATTATTATTTTATTTATTTATTATTATTATTACTAGTATTATTGTAATTAAAAAATAATATACAATATATTACAACAACAATAAAAAATAAATAATAATTTTTTGGTTAATTAATTAATTAAGTAATTTCAAACAATAATAATAATCTACTGACCACTTTGCCGTCGATGTCAATGTTGGCCACATAGTTGTCGAAAACAGTTGGCGTGTATAGTTCGGTAAACAAATTTTTACAATAGGCTATCAATAGAGATGTTTTACCGCAACCGCCGTCGCCGACAACCACCAGTTTTTTGGTGAACGCCATTGATATGTGTGAAACAACTGGTCCTCAACACACAACAAGTAATATATCATTTACACACCACTGTCCCGGGGGGTTGGGGTGGTTGGGGTGGTTGGGGTGGTTGGGGTGGTTGGGATGGGGGTTAGGATGCACACAGGTATGTCATCTAAGCACAGGTAGTTTTGGTTGTAGTAGTAGTCTATTAATCCAAACCCATTCAAATCAATATATAACATCACATAAGCAACTATTTGGATGCACTTATTGTTTGTTGTCTATTATATATTATATAAAAGAAAATTTAAAAAAAAAACAACAACAAAAAATAATTAAACAAAAATTAATAAATATTTTAAAAATTTATTTTTAATTACAAAAACACACATGTTGAATTGATTATTATTATTATTATTATTAAATTAATTATTAAATTAATTATTAAATTAATTATTATAAATTATTATTATTATTAATGTCTACCCTAATAATATTCACATTTTGTATGATAAATATTTAGTTGACTATTATTAGTCAATTGACTTATTATTAATAATATTATAATAATTTATTTTATTTTATTTTAATTTTTTTTGATACAAAACAAAATAAAAAAATTTTAAGTAAATATTTCTAATTAATACTAATAAATAGTTGAAAAATTTTTTTTTAAAAATTTATTTTGTTTGTATAGTTTTAATCAATTTATCAAAAAAAAACTAATTAATTATTATTGATAATTAATATTAAAAAAGTTTTTTTTAATAAAAATTATTATTATTATTATTAGACTATTAATCAACAAAAAAAAATATTCACAAAAATAGTTGAAAACTTTTTGTTTGTTTGTTTGTATTAAAAAAGAGAAAGTGAAACAAACAGTTGGTTTTTTCAATTGATTTTTTGTATGTTATGTATGTATGTCTGTATATGAATCCACATACCAGTGCTACTGATGATAGTTAGTAGTATAATATTTTATTACTACTTGAAACCTTGAATATACAGTACATATGAAAGCACATACAGTTAGTTAGTTAGTAGTGGTGGTGGTGGTGGTGGGGTTAGGTATGTAATAATATGTAAGCACCGTTATATGATTGGCTAACAAATATCCAAATATGATATGATTTTTATATATATTTTATATAACAGTATAATGGATGTTATATATACAGTATATATATATATATATATATATATATAGGGAACCGGTATTTTTGTTGAGATAACTATGACACTGTTTTTTTTAACGGGGAAGGGATGGGGGGGGGTATTATATACAGTAAATTTTGTTTTGCTTTTTAAATAATAATCATTTTAATATAAGGTATGATATGTCCATATGTCGACACTTTATATTATACCTATGGGATAGACCTATCAAACAATAGGTATGTCCACCACAATAGGTATTGATTGTGTTGAGAGAGAGAGAGAGAGAGAGAGGTCTATCTATCAATCTATCTATCTATTAATCTCTCTCTCTCTCTCTCTCTCTCTCTCTCTCTCTCTCTCTCTCTCTCTCTCTCTCTCTCTCTCTCTCTCTCTCTCTCTCTCTCTATCTCTCTCTCTCTCTCTCTCTCTCTCTCTCTCTCTATCTCTATTTATCTATCTCTCTCTTTCTCTCTAATAAAATATAAAATTTTTTTTTAATTTGATTTAACATTTTAATATGATTTTTCTCATTTACAATAATTTAGTACAAAAATAAAAAAAGTTAAATAAAACTATACAAAAATAACTATTACTAATATACAGTATTTATATTAAAACATTAGTTTTTCAACAACAATAGCAAAAAAGTTTATAATAAAATAAAATAACATATATATATAAAATAATAAAAATACCAATTGATTATTATATTCATCGACACGTATATTATCGACAATACAATATAAAAATAATATAAATAGTATTATAATATTAACATAAAATCCAATATAATAATAGATAGATAAAAAAATTTATATTCAATATATAGTATATATTGATATTTTATGTAAAATAATATATATATTTTTTCATAAATATTTATTAATTCAAATATAGTAAATAAATCTAATAAATAGTTTCCTATTGTTTTGTTTTAATTAAATCATGTATAGATTTAAATAATATGTTTGAAAAAAATAATCAATCAATAATATACGGTATATATATATATGTTAAAATAATAAACTATTAATATATTTAGTTATTTGATAGCTAAACAATATATCAATATATATGTCATAATATTTTTTGAGGACTATTTTATAATATACTATATTATAATAATAAAATTATTATAAAATACATTATTATTTTATTGTTGAATGTTATCTCATATATATATATATATATGTTTACCAATACTATAGTATTGTTTATTTGTTAAACATTGTTGTTGTTGTTATATAAGCTTATATATATAAGGTATACCCAAAATTTTTATACATGTATATAACTTTTAGAAAAATTTACTACAAATAGTATAATACAATATTATTATTATTATGATATAAACTTTATTATATGATATGATACCCAGTAAACTATATTATAATATAGCAACTTATTTAGTCCATATAGTTATGGATATATAAAATATTAAATAATATAAAAATAAATAAATAAAAGGGGACTCACGTTTATGCACTATATATATATAAATACAAAAATTTTATTATTATATATATATTAGCTATTAATATATATATATACTATACTGTATTATTGTGTTAACCATAATACTAATCATAGTGTACTAAATATTTATATCTTTTTATTTAAATAATTTTTATTTTGTTTTTTTGTTAGAAAAATTTAATACATTGACTATTATTGCTGGCAATTATATACCGGTATAATACCAATAATAATATATTGTATTTAATATATATATATATATATTATAAATGATAATAAAGAGAGAGAGAGAGAGAGAGAGAGAGAGAAATACAAACAAAATATTGTATTAATAATGTTATTATTATTATTATTATGTTTTCATTATTATTATTATATAAATTTTTGTATTTTATTTTGTAATATACTGTATAAGTATATACCAGTATTTAATATACTGTGAAATTTTGATTTTATTTTGTGAATTATATTTATTTATTATTGTTTTTTTGGGGGAAAAAATATTTTCTTGTTGTTGTTGTTGTTATATATACTAAATATTTTGGTTTTTAAAAATTTTTATTAGCCATACATAAAATAGTAGTAATTTTTTGTGTGGGGGAAAAATAGTTTATACATTTAGAAAAAAATATATATAAATAAAAATTATTAATTAGTATTGTCTTATATATAATTTTTTTAATATAATAATAATAACAAAAATTTTACTTTATTTAATACATTATGAGAAATGTGTGTTATATTTATGCTATGGTTTATTATATATATATGAAAACAAACATAAAAAATATTTTCCTTATTATTATTTTTTATAAAATTTATTTATTTATTAATTTTATTTTTTTGATGTGTGTGTGTGTGAATATATAACAATAACTGATTAGAAAAAAACTAGATTAATGAAAATGTAATGCAATTATAAAGTTTTCATATATATATATATATATATTATATGGTATATAAATTTATATAAATTATGCAACGATTAAAATACTATTAAAATTTTTAAATAGTTGTTGTATCACTTTTTTATGTATAGTATTTATACATATAATAGTTTATATATTATGTTATATGTATTGATAGTATAATATAATAACATATAAAACAACAATTTTCATTACAATTTATATAAACTAAATATACTGTATATATATATTGTATATAAAGGTATGCATCAAAAACAACAACAACAAAAATGTTTACAAAAAAAATTAATTGTGATACAAAACAATTTTTTAATTTTTGTTTTATGGGAATTTAATTTATATTATTAATATATATATATTTTGTTTTATTTTTATTTGTTTGTTTGTTTTTTATATTAGTTAAGTTAAGTTTAATTTACTTTTTATTATAAATTATATATATATATACTGTAGATATCAATCTATTAGCTATTTATTTCTCATTGAATACTATAATATATCCCATAATATAATAAAAACTGATTTAATTGTATAGTTTAATGTATAGTATGTATATTATATAAATAAAACGTTATTATCAATGGGAATATTTAATGTATAGTATTATTTAGTATTATTATTATTAAGTAAATTTAAATGTAAATAAATACTATTAGTTTTTTTTATATTATAGAAAAACTAAAAATCAAAATAAAACTAAATATATTTTTTTCAAAAGGAATTTTCATTATATCAAATAATATACTATAAATAAATAAATAGTTTTTTTTAAGTATTATATTAAAATAAATAGTTTGTAAATATTTAGTATTTTTGTTGTATAATATTTTTTTCTACAGTTTTCAATTCAATATTTATATTATGTTTATATTATATATAGTAAATATATTTTTTTTATTCAATTAAATTTTATTATACAAGCTAAATACAATATTATTTATTATAAATATATAATAATTACCATCAATTGTGGAAATATACCGGTACTGCCAATACATTAATATTTTTTTTGTATTAATAATAATATTATATTTTTATATTATACTGTATATACTGTATAACTGGTATAAAGTTATCATTAAATTATTATCAAAGTATTGAATTTATAAATACATTATTATATTTGAGTTTATCTATTAAATATTAATTGTTAAAAAAAATAATATGACATTTATCATGCAAACACACATACAACACACACATACATACACACATACACACACACACACACACACACATACAGTACATACATACATACATACATACATTATAGACAATTATACAGTTTATTCAACTTATAGAAATAATATTTCAAAAAAAATTCAAAAAAATTTCAAAACAATAAAATGATAGATCATTTTACTTTCAATTATAAATATATATATAAATTATTTTATTATTATTATTATTTACTAATACACTAAAAAAATTTTATTTGTATATAATTTAATAATAATAATAAAATAATATATAAAAAAAGTAATTGACTTTTACTGACTATCAATAGAAATCAAAATAATAATAAAAATAAATAACTAA